AGGACTGCGGCTGTATACACGTACGACACCAGACGGCCTAAAGGCCTGGCTACACTATGCGCTTTCTGCGTGCATTTTTTGCGGGTTTGCTTTTTTTAGTAATATCGTTCTAAAAAATTAGAAATAAATTAGAAATAATATAACTTTTACATTAGTTGTGGCTGGTAGCTCAGGAGCCGGGGTCGACACCAGCCAGTACACCGTGCAAGCGCAGACCGCCACTTCAACTGCGTCTGCACCTTAGTGAACAGGGATAGAGATCAGGGAGGTACTGAAGGGAGAGCAAAGTCGTACCGTGAAACATGTTATAGGTGATTTAATACATGATTTCCTCGCATACATGTTAAAAAACACCTTTGTGGATTGACTGTGTTCCAATCCATCCACGTCATCCGTTACAACCATTCATGCACGGAAACCGTGTAACCTATAAACATTCTACGGTGCACCGCTCTGCAACAGACGAACAATGTTGTTTAAAGGGACCAATTTTGGGGCATACGGAGGCATAAGCGGCATATTTTGAAGGGGAGAAAGTTAAGCATGTGTAATGTATGAGCAACTGATATTTTGTATTTATGACCAGCCATCAGCCAGTATCGAACTCTGCATTGTAATCGCATTGCAGCCGGCTATTTCATCGGCCTTACAAATTGAATATGGAAAAAAAATAGAGTATTCCATTCTGACAAGTAAAGCCAAATTCATAAAGCAGTTATTTTTTAATAATATGTACCAGAATTAACGTACTATCCATAGTTTAAAACTTAGTCTAAAGTTAGTTGAAAAGCGTATAGTTGATACTAAGATGGAAGGAATCAATCTAAGGCAGAAATGGCGCAGCTGTTTCATTCTTAAAATGTGTTCGCAAGCAGGATTTACATGATGCTAGCGACATCTATGAATGTAATCAGTGATGGTGATTGGCTGATCGAGTCCATTAGCAGTATCACTAATTTACGCTAGTCTAGGGTTGAGGCAATGTGCGCATGCGCAGGATATTGTGCTCTCATGGAGGGGATTTTGGTACCTCGGGCAGCGCCCAATACTTTTTGGACCTGTTATGGCCTCCGCATCGAAAGACGCTAGATAGAAAGGTTGTAGAGGAAGCTTGAGACTACCTTTCCCCACAATAATATTGACACTTTATCTTTTAGCTTACGTATGAAAAAAGTCGATTGAAAAAGGTCGATTTAACATGGAAACCCTATGGGGTAGTAGTTTTTGAGCGCCCATTTGGCCTAATGCTACCAACTGTTACTGGCTTGGCTACCCCTGGTTCTCCCAATGCGAGTATAGACGATTTCGGCAACGTAGCCGACGATGCCGTCCCTGTAGAGAAAGGAACGGGGTCACGGGAGGCCAGCAAAAGCGCTCCTCTGACGGGAAAGCTGGCGCCCCGACCTCCAGCACCAGACCGCGAAAGTACATGAAGTCATGCCGAGCGGGTCCTGGCAACATCTTTCTCGCGCCGTATCGGACGGTACAGCAGGCACATGACTGTTGACACTAGCCGTTTTTACGACGGCCGTCTGGTACACATTTGGTGCACATCTGGTGCAGATTTGGTCAAATTAGGTTCAGTGTGTCTCTGAGTAGCTATCAGCTAGGGTTGCACCAAGGCTCTATAGAAGGTTGCACTAATTGCTTATATGCCTGCTTTGTCATCAGAGTATCATCGATTAAAACACTGAAATAAATTCATAAAATAAAGATATTTGCTGTAAAAGAGATTAGGTACAGATTTCGTCAAATTAGGTGCAGTCGCCGGATAGCCCGTCGTGAAAACGGCTATTATGTCTGATAACACGCCGGAGTCGACGCGACGAAACTGGGGCATTCCACGACAGATTACCCAAAAAAATCGCGAAATAACACCATACCTCTCCAATTTTAATTAAATTTCGGCTATGGGTTTATCTCGCCCGGCGATTCGTATTGTGACAATTTCAATCACATCCGTCGAGTACTTAGGGAGATACTGCCCCAGGCCACTTAATGACTATCATAAAAAACTATAAATTTCATCCGCGGATATTTAGCTAAATACTCATTAGATTCATATAAAACTGCACATCCCCACAATTGGAATCAAACAAAGATTTTTGTGATATGAATTATTTTGGAAAATTTTTGATTTGATTTTTTACATATAATTCGTTTCTAGAAATTAAATTTTGAGAATGTGGCCATCTTCTTTCCAATTTATTTTTGCATCTTAAGTCCCCAAACAAACTTCATATAAGGCTGAACTATGACGTCAAATAAGTGAGCCTATGTAATGTTAAAGGGACACTCCCACCTTAACATTAGTTTTGAGTTGAGATAGCCAAATTGGTGGCCATGGCCTGCAAATACCGGTTTGGGCACTCACAACATCGACAAATGCTTTAATTCGGAGATACGGAATTTCAAACTTGCAGTTTTCGGATTCTAAGGGGCTAGTGCATTGGTATGCCCCCTTAGAATTTGTGACGTCAGCGGAGATCTAACGATTTTTAAATCTTTAACTAAAACGTTTGGTAGCACGCGGTGGTATATGCTGCTTTGCGCGCAACAAATGCCGCACTTTCAAATAAAGTCGCTAGGAACAGCGGAGATCCCAAAAAGTAAACAAAAGTAAAAGTCTAATATCTTGAAAACCGGTGAATATTTTTCGATGAAATTTGGTAGATATTCGTTTTCGCTCTTTCTGAACCGAGCGACATCACTTTCGTGCCAATTCATTAACTTTTTTGAAGGTGGGAGGGTCCCTTTAAAAATGTCGCAATAGCGAAACGCCCTCATTGCCAAACAATTATTTACGGGGAGAATGTACTTCACGCATTCTTTGCAAGGTCCGATGTTTCAGTTTTGCTCCTGGACCTTGCGTGACGTCATAAAGACGCAACGTCATTTGTGACGTCACTAAAGCTGTTTGAGGTGAGAATGTTTCGTCAATAGACTCCAAACAAAATGAGGGCATCGAGGGAAGGGTCATCAATGTAGGTAGGTAGTGGTACTCAGAATCATCTCAATCGACATGTTTCTTTACCTGAACGACTTCGTTATGACCTTGATCTGAGGTAAGCACGCTGAGCTTTCCAAAATATCCGCACACCCACGGGTGGAGAATGTTTGAAAAAGTTACCCCGGCCGGCGACCGAAAGTCAGAAAGACGATGATGCTCAAATATTTGTCAACGGTTATCAACAAACCCCTATTCTGTGGCATAGAATAATGGATTTCTGCGTACGTTTTTAGGGAAAACTGCTGCACGCAGGTGCGGAAGATTTCGTAATTGTAACAACAATTTTGCAACACGCCTTAAAATTTCGGACGCATGTCACCTAGTGGCTAGTGCTAGGTTAGGTCATCAGGTCAAATTTGCTGGATGATCGTGCTAAAAATGCCATCAAGCCCTTTGCAAAGCTTATTCCGTGGAAGTTGCAACCTTCCCACACAAAACAAAATGTCAAATTTGACCGTTTTGACCCTCTTATTGATTTGAGCTCGCACCTGAAATATTAGGTATTCGCGACCGAGCCTTAAACGAGTAATCGAATGTTTTGTTTGCAGTGTTTAAGCTCCGTTATGTTCATGAACTGTGAGAAAAGTTGTCGGAGAACGCTAAAATAAGAGAAAGTTGGCTTTTGATGATCTATAGTGATTTTATTATTGAGCTTGCCTAAAACATGACCAGATAACCTCTCGACTCAACGTGTTACGATAAGGCCACCACCCTGGTGCGGGTTAAGTTGGGGGAGCCTTGAGCCCCAGCAGCTCGTCCTTCTATCTCACTGATCCTCGTCCTGTCTTGTGATGTTATTACAGTGCCATCTTACGCTAACGGCCCTTAAATATGATTTACTTCTGTTTGATGAAACATGTCGAGCTCCGCGACGAAAAGACTTAAAAACATAGAAGCTCCAAAATGAAAATAAAGTAAATTTTCAAGAACTTTTGAAGGTAGATAAGAATAATGAGAGTACTTTTTATAGATGGCAGTTTTTTTCGTATGGAGACAGCTTTCAGGATTTACAAAAGTGGAAAAAGTTACCCCGGCCGCGCCGGGGTCGGCTGAAAGTTACCCCGGCCACGGCCGGGGTGGCCGGGGCAGGTTCTCCACCCATGCGCACACCATTTTTCGCGGCGGAGCATCACAAATTCGATGGTGCCAGATAAGTGTCAGGTACCGAAATGACGGTGCTGTGACCATTTGGGGGATTATTCGACCGAAAATTGGATCCCTCCTTCAGGGTAAGAGCGGGTCACCGCCACGACGCGATCCTTACGTCAAGCTACAAGCTTCAACCAACCTTCTTCCGCTTTGCCAGGCTGCAACAGAACGGGGCCGGTTTGGCACGTTCTGTTGCCTTTTTCCTGACACCTGTCAGTCCTTCCGCCGCTGCGGGCAGCCTCGGAGTGGGGCCGATTCGGCACGCTTCGGTACTTTCTTCGAGTCATCCTTCTTCGCTGTCCTCGGTGCTGGGCCGGTTCGGCACGCCCCTGGCAGCCACCCTGTCCTCTCGCCGTCCGCGAGAAGACACGCTCCTGGGACCGCTGTCAACTGCTTCTTCGCCGTCCGCGACTTCTGACCTGCCATCTGAGTACGGTTGCCTTCTGTGGCACTCTCTGCTCGACCAACGATCTTGGGCTTCCCCACTCCCCCCACCCCCGCTGATTTTGACACAGATTCCCTTAGATTCCACCTCTTCTTTTTCAGTGCGCCACCCCTGTAGGCCCACCCATTTGGTCTGGGTTCAAAATTTCTAGTTCCACTGTCAAGTACCTTGCTGGTTTAAAGGATAGGGCTTATCGATACTGCCCCCTCTTGCCGACAGTGACGATCCGATAGCTCCCAACCATGTCCCGCACCTTCCCCCCTCCCAACCATTCCATGGTGAGTGGGTATATAGGGCCTTGGGTGAGTGAGGCGGTGGCTTGTTCTGCGGCGCACGGACAAGCGGGAGGTTAAGCTGATCTATCCATGGGTCACCGAGAACAGCATCACCAACCACATGAACACGTCTCTCAACATCACCACCTACAAGCTCAAGGCCGAGCTCTCTGACAAGGGCACCGCTCTCTACATCCACACGACGTCACACCAGGAAACCGAGGCACTGCTCAAACTCACCAACATTGGAGCCATCCCGGTCGAGGTCAAGGACCCCATTACACGTGTCCAGGGGTCCATCTGGGCTCCAGAGCTAGACATGCTCGACCCAGCCGACCTTCTCGAGGACTTCGGCGCTCAGGGGGTCACGGCGGTGTTCCGGCCGCCGCGAGGGCCCAAAGCTATCCTGTACCTGACGTTCAGTGGTAGCTCCCTCCCTGACCGCGTCACGGCAGGATACCTGTCCTACAGGACCCGCCTGGTCGTGCCGAAGCCCCGGCGCTGCCGCCGCTGCCAGAAGTATGGACACGGTGAGGCCCAGTGCCGGGGTCATGAGCTGTGTGGCCGCTGTAGCGGCCGCCACCTAACCACTGACTGCATTGCCACCCATCCGGCCTGCCCCGCTTGCGGTGGAAGCCACGAGGCGTCCCATCGGGACTGCCCTAAGTGGCTCCAGGAAATGCAAATCGCCACACTCATCCATCGGCAGCGCATGCTTCCGAAGCAGGCGCGAGCCGTGGCCAATCGGGACTTCGGGTTCCAGGCCCCCGCACCTCGCCGAGAGCCTGCCGAGGTTCAGTGATCGTCAGGCGTTCCCTCCACTGTCCTCTGAGGACGAGGAGGGCAAAGCCACAGACTCTCCCGTCACTCCGGCCACGGTCCGGAAAGCCCTGTTGAGGATTGTTATGACGAGGATCCTGGCAGTTTAGTTCACGCGCGCGCGCCGAATTGAAAGACCGAAATAAGAACGGATAATGAATGACGAGAATGACTTGGAACTTGAAATTAGACCTTGAGAAGCAGTGAACTGATTACTGAACTACAATGATATGAGAGTAACTTGTCGATTGAATGAATGAATACGAGTACCTAGTTAAGTCCGTTTGTAGTATAACGCTGAAAATAGGAGATTAAGAATCTACGGTACAGATAACCCCTTAGACGCAATTTCATCAAAATCTGAGAGGTAGGGTGTTATGGCTTGGTCGATCTGTCATGGAACGCCCCAACTACCGGTACAACCTGCGCGCAGCCTGCTCGTAAGAGCGGGCCTGCTGACAAAAAACCCAGGGCTGGAGTCATTTGACTTCCGGTATCTACTCGGGTCGCCCGAGAACGTGGAAAAAGTACGGCACGTGATAGGAACGATGTTCAGTCGCCACATTGCCACTGGCTACATAACGCTGCGCGCCCTAACACATGTCCTCAGCAGGCCCATGTCACTCCACTTTTGATGACATCATAAGGGGGCCTCAGGACAATTAATGGCGCGGTGCGCCACAATCGCTCCCAAACTACTGGCCAACGGCTGCCATTTTTGAAAATATTATTTTGAAATAAAGTTTCAAGTAATGAAAATATTGTAATGAAATTGTAACTTAAATCTATACCATATCTAAAAACTTACTGAAAAATGAATTATCCATAGGAAAAATATAAGCTCAATGCGTTTTTACGTTGCTTTCCTGCTGCTGCAGAGGGTTTTTAAATCGTCTATAACTTCAAAACCGGCCATTTCTTAGCATATTGCTGCTCTTTTTTGTCGCTGGAAAATTAGTTGGGCTTTCCATTGACATCAACGGCTGAGCGGTATGTGCAGAGTGCCATCAATAATCTTCAAATGAAGTTAGTCATTTTTACGTTGCAAAGGAATGGAGTACCCCTTGCGAGCATCAGGGATGACGTCACTCAGGATCTGTCTCTGATTGGTCGGCGGGGGAGTGACTGTACCTTCTATAGATGGCCTTGGTCCTCAGTATCATCCCGCGCCGGGTGCTCCCAGGCGCATATTTACGTCTGGACAACGAGTTGCGTTGGAGAGGCCGGAAATAGTGGCGATTTCAGGACCGCAAGAATGGACCGTCATTGGAATGATTCTTTTTGAAAACGTGCACTGTTTTCGGCCGGAATTTAATAGTTTCTACAAAATATTTTCTAATTACGTTTCCACCAAGAATGAATGCCATCAGGGCTAAATTTTTACTACTTTTGCATTTTGTCAAGAAGCATATAGTGCTGTTATATTGCAGTTTTTGCGCGTTTGTTACAAAATATGAAGCGAATAATCGTCAGTGTTATTCATCAGTGCCAAAAGTTAACTTGAGGGGAAGCTATGCTAATTGCCCTTGTCTATCCACTAGAAGTTATTAAATATTTTGCTTTGTGTATTCCAAAAGGAGTGGGAACTGTTTTATTTGTGCCTTCATGTCAGAATTGAAGGTGGATCATTGAATTTTCAAGGCAGTTTACAAACAAGCATTTGGTCATTCTCGTATATAAGCAGTAGCTAAGAAGAAAAGGTTGATCAATCCTGAAGTTCAGTCATCGTGCCTCAACTTGGCAGCAAGATCCCCAAGGACAGAGGTTATATTGTATACCTGTCCTGTAAATAAAAGCATTTTTGTGCCTACAAAGGCTTAAGCTATTTGTGGTGTGTTCGGAGTGAGGTTATATGGCTGTTTTTGTTGTATGTTTATGTGGAGATTGAATATAACTGTGACCCTTTGCTTGTTTGTATACTTACTATGGTTAAACAGGGAACAGCACATTCACATAACATACTCACCTAGCACCTAACTCATAGCTGTACCCTGCAGGATCTGTAGGTACTTGTTCATGTCTCGAGCATTAACAAAGCACTAAAGTAGCTTAGTAATCATTTCCCACATTTTCTGAGCATCTAACATGACATACAGCAGTGCAGAGCAGCTTCAGAGAAGAAACACTTAAATGCACAGACTCACACCAGCCACCCAATGAGCCAGTTCCTCAGTTGACTGTTTCCCTGGATGCAGCTTGGCAAGGTGAGCTAACTATAGGCAAGTTGAAGGTTAGCAGGTAAGGTTGAGTTAGGGTGAGTACCTACCTATAACTGGGTGCTTCTGCTATGCAGGTCTTGGGTAAGGCTGCAAATATGTGTGATGATTGAGGTTAGGTCAGCTGTCAGGTTATTCAGGTATGCTCATTGCTCAGGTCACATTTTTATGGACACTTGGCAAATTAAAAAAATAGCATAACCTAATCTAAGCTAACCCGACTAAACCTACACAACTACTGACTATAGGAACTAAGCACCTACCTACTTGTGCCTACATCTCATACCATGTCAAAACTCAAAGTAGAGTTCCTTGGTGGAAGATTACCCTCAGTACTTTTTTATCCCAGCCCTGTGAAGAAAACTAATACTTCTAAGCTCTGAATCACTGCTGGCCATCCACAGGAAGAAACGCTGAGACTGAGAGCTTTGCCATTGTATATTGGACCAACAATCATGAATCACTATTCACTATCATGAATGACTATGAACACATCATATGATCACATTGTTGCATGGATTGTCACATTGACAATTTTATAACAATCCTTTTTTCAAGAAATACAGTAATGATTAACATCAAAATCAACATTAAGTGGATTTGGTGATCCAAGCTTTCTCCTCCAGTTGCAGTAGCAATGGAATGATCGCATGTTTCATTTGCCAGACACTGAGTAGATACCTGACCTGATGCACATTATAATCTGCACAGCATCTAAGCATAGTAGAGCTGCCAAAGTCCATTCATTCTAGATTTTTAACTTGATAGTTAGCACTAATTTATCTTGCTGTTGTAAGTTATCATTCAATATTCATACCAATACATCAATATGCGCTCATCAGTCAACATTTTCTGGCATGATCCTGCTCAGCGTGCACTTCAGCATTGCTCCAAGATCTGCAATATTATAGCTTGTTTTCAGCCAATAAGCTCTTTTTATTTTACTTTTTTTGCTGATATATGAGCCCGATCAACTTGCGTTTATTAACCAAAATTTAATAACTTCAAGTTCAACTTGATATTGATATTGCTCAGGAGTCAGGACCTCTGTCAGCCTCCTGGATACTTCGGATTGTTTTCAGTCACATGCTTCTTAAATATGATATAAGTTAATCGTAATGGATCCAAAACATCCAACAAAACGACGTACAAGAGTACGGAAACCACCAGATAAACTCAAAAAGCGCCTTGGAACAGAGCCAAGTGGTCCTCCGTTTGTTTGTTTACAATGAATGTAGTGCTGATGTATTTTTAGGACTCTGAAGGTCGGCTTATAAAAAAATGAAACGTTTTTACAAAAGTTGTAAAGCAAGTAATATTTATCTACAAGAACTAAAATATTCAAAAGCCAAACACTATGAAATACATGAATCGGAACGAAAAAGTAACCCGAAAATCCAGCCTAATCACCGGCTCCTAAAACTGCAACAAAATCAGCACTTTTCCCCGCAACTCGTTGTCCAGACGTAAATATGCCTCCCAGGCCCATGTCGTCCCCTATCTCCCTGTGTGTCCAAGTGCACAAATTACGTCACACGAAGGGGCGGAGTCGGGGGCGGAGCCTAGCGCAACGGCCGCCAAATTTGAATTTGTTTTATAAGAATGTAATCTATATCTTGGCTTTCAGTCACTTGTTATCGATAGTTTTATGAACAGTTAGCTGTAATATAAGTGATTTTTAAAGAAAAATGCCTATTCTGCTTGCAATTTCGACTTGAGTCCGACCCGTGCCTAGATTCGAGCGCACGATCTTTGGATCACGGTGCAAGCGTCCTAACCACTACACTACCGCGGCGGCCCAGCGGCCGACGGAAGGGAGGCTGCGGAGGCATGGGGGCTTTTCTACGCATTTTCGGGAAAACTAATGGGTTTAGTGAAAAACTGCTCTTAAATAATTCAAAGAAAAATGTCTCTCTTTCCGATAATGCACTTAGTTTTGTGCTAGCTTTAGCAGAGTTTGTTCTACAGCACTTCAAAAATCGCCCATTTGCATAGGACTTAAACCGGGACTTCAAGACTTGCCCCCAGATGACGTCACAAGCAGACGTCACGATCGGGTAGAATCGCCGGACGACCCTACCTGGTATGTATGTAGGGCCTTGGGTGCTCCTGCTTGGTGAAGACCAGGTTGTAGAGTGGAACCACCTGGTGAAAATCGTTACCGAGACACTATAGGGCGAGGAACTTAAAGGGACTAACCCACCTTTACATTAGGTTTGAGTTGAGATAGCAAAGTTTGCGGCGAGGTTCAGAAGACACTATCTATCTTGGTCGCAACTCCAGCAGCCTCGTGTTGTTGAAGGAAATAGTTCCCTTCATTTGAAAATGTTCCATGTACAAGTCCCAATCTCTTAACCATTAACGGCAATCTGATGACGTCATTTGCCTTTTGAACGCCTGTCACGCAATCAAGTGAAGTATCACTTAATTTACGAATAAGCCAATCAGATGCTTTTGTATGAGCCGCGTCATATTTTGAGAGCAAATATATTTGCTGCCAAATTTCCCTCCAAATTGACATGAAGTAAATCCTGCCACTGATGTATCTGCCCACTAATCGGCCTCCTAAAACCTGTTATTCAAGAAAGTTAAGAAATGAATGTCGCGTGTGCGTCATGACTGCCTACCATAAACGCTACCATATTCTAAATTTAACTTTACTTTTACTAGTACCGACCACATATAGTAGGTTTTCTAGTAGTTATTCCAGAGATTACTACCAGAATTCGTCCTACCCTTCACTCAATATACCCTGGCACCGGGACAT